CAGATGACCTCGGGGGATTCTGATGGACTCAGACCCTGAGCCTCGTCTGCTGCTCAACCAAAGAATCGCCCGGCTGCCCACTGCAAAGCCAGCACTTCTTTTTCTAAATGCTTATTTTTCACTATTTATAATTTCTATAAGAAGCTTATCACCTTCACCCTGCAAGGTGCCTAATGTATTAAATGTTTATATCATCTCAGCCACTGTTTCTTTTTTTCTTTTTTCTTTTTTTTCTTTTATTTTGTCTCAGGAGAGTCTCTACAGGATTCTGACTGGCCGCTGTCAGTACTGGGGCTGAACTCAGGGCCTTGTGTTCTTACTTGACTTTTATGCTCGTAGCTGATGTTCTAACAGTTGAGATAGAGTCTTGATTTTATCTACTCTAGCTGACTCTGAACCATGATTTTCAGATCTCAGCCTCCTGAGTAGCTTGGATTTACCTGAGCAACCAATGAATGCCTGGCCCTCAGAGCTTCAAGTCCAGCCTTTGGGCCAGGCCTTCCCCTCCCCTTCCCTCTGTGTCTCCTTACTATGCCCTCTCTCTCAGACATCTTCCCCTTGCTCCCAACCTCTCAGACCTCCTCTACTATCCTCCATTCCCTCCTACCTCACATGTCCCCATATTGTCCTTCCCCTGTTGCATCTCAACCTCCTGGCCATCTGGTGGCCCCTGGTGGCTCAGTCACCTGGTCTCACTGTTCAGCCTTCAGGCCCTGTGGGGAAGGATGGACAGGGGTTGGCTGGCCTGGCAGCTCTGAATCCTGGTCTGACAGCCTCCCTGCCTGCTGACTCCACTGTGGTTAGGAAACATGGCCTAGAGAGGGAACCACTTGCCTGGGTCACTTAGCTAAAGGGAGCGAAGGGACATTCAACCAGGTTGGAGTCCAATCTGCTTTGTCCTTGTTGCTTTCTCATGGTCATCCAAGAAGCCCCCATGTCTCCATCCTTCCTGGATCTCTTCCCTTGGCCAGTCACTACAGCCCCAGCTTCGCCACACTCCTGGCTAGCCAGTGTGTCCAAAGAAGAGAGCTCTCAATGGAGCTGGGCACTTGAACCCACTTCCCAGCCACTATGCAGGATAGATGAGGTGTCATAGCCACTGAAGGTGGACTGGCGCAGTCATGTGGGATGAAAGCACATCAGTCTTGTTGCTCACCTACAAGGGCTACCCTGCTCAAGTGGGAGGTAGAATGAAGCAGTCTGCTGAACCTTCTTGATACTTTAGAGATTCATCACCCCTTCCCCATAGCCACAGCCAGTTTTTCATGTGCCCCAGGGCTGGGACCGGTCCGTGTGGGGCAGAGTCCTGCTCCTTTCACTGAGCATGACTATGCCTCTCAAGTCCATGCTACCCGCCTCAGTCTCAGGCTTTGTTCTAGAAATATCCCTTGGGAATGGTCACCTTTGGCTCCCATTGTCAGAGCCCCCCAGGGCCCTCCGGCCTCAGGCAACACCTTCTATGGACTCAAGGCTGGAGGCAGCCAACACCCTCTTCTGTGCTGTCACCTAGTCCTCAGGGACTGAGTCACTACCCTCACCTTAGAGATAAGGAAGCTGAGGTCAGGGCCAAGACCAGTGGCAGCAAAGGGGCCAGCAAGAGGGAGTTCTGTGTGCCTCTTCCCACCCCACCCCTGCTTCCCAGTATACATACCAAAGCACTCACACGAATGCACTTGAGTAACACAGTTTGCACATGTACATGCTCATACACATGCACATATACCGTATGTGTACATGTCCATACACATGTATGCAGACATGTGTAAGGCACCAGCTGCACATGCTCCAATCCACCCTCTGAGCCTTGGTGCCCAATAGGTTTGTCTCTTCATTGCCTCCCTTCCTGCTGTCCCCACCAGCTTGTTTTGAGGAGACAACAACATTTGTCAACCAGAAGAATCATCATGAGTTTGTATTTTCCATGGAGGCTTCCAGGAGCATTGCACTGGGCTGTAGAAGGGTCTCTAACGTAGGGGGGAACCACACAGGGGGTACTGTATGTGGGGTGAGGTTGTCCAGGGCCAGCCTCCCCAGATGGGGCTCCACTCAGGTCTCAGGTTAATGGAGCCCACGAGAGCGAGAAATGCAATAATGTGGGGGCTCCTGCTCACCCCACAGCCAACACTGTAACTGTTCCTTCAGAGAACTGGGGTGAAGGCAAAGGACAACCATGCCCTTTGGGCCTCCTACCTGCGATGATACCATATGCCCAGAGAGAAAAGGTGGCTTTGTCTTGTTTTTTGCCAGTCCTGGGGCTTGAACTCAGGGCCTCAGCACTGTGCCTGAGCTTCTCTTACTCAAGGCTAGAACTCTACTACTTGAGCCATAGCACCACTTCCAGCCTTCTCTGTGTATGTGGTACTGAGGAATGGAACCCAGGGCTTCATGCATGCTAGGCAAGCACTCTACCACTAAGCCACACTCCCAGCCCACCACGCCCCCATTTCTGAGGGGGAGCTCCCTTCATTCCCCTGCTTCCTTCCTGTCCCTGAGCCTCAGTCTGCCAACCTGTAGCATGAGACTCCTACTCTGGGCACTCATCCTGAGTGTGGCTCAGCAGGGCAAGGCTCTGGTAAAGCAGTGTGCCCACAGACAGACAAAGCTCATGAACTTTCCACTTTACAGGAGGTGGCATTAACACCTGGGTAAGAAGTGACACACAGTGAAGGTGACAGAGGGCCCGGTAACACTTGAGTTGAAGGCGTGCACAGGTTGGATTTGCCCACAGAGGATAAAGGAGAGATCTTGAAGGCCACTGAAATTCTAGTTTCTTTCAGCTGAAGGATGGAAATGTCCAGACCTGTGTGAGGTCCCAGGTGTTGGGTCTGGGAAGGTCATGGGGCTGATCCCTACCTGAGACCAAGGAAGACACATCCTCTCAGAGCTACCAAAATGACCTGTGAGGCCCTGACTCCTAGGCCCTCTGGAAAGGGTGTCCCCACAAGTGGGGACACATAGGATGTGCTGGAGTCCTGGTCTTGAATCCATCTGGCCTTCCAGGATGGCTTTCTTGTTACTTGTGACACACTAGGCTGTGGGACTTAGCCCAGCCTCTGCGCACAGGCTGGCAGATATCTCTGGGTCCCACCCCCCAATCTGGCTGGACTCAAAGCCTGTGGCTGAGATCTTAGACATCCCTAACCACTCATTGGCCCCTCTCCTGTTGGTACTTCCTACCCCAGTACTGCCTGGAAAGTCCTTCTAGGCTGTGGCTCCCTGACTAGAGCTCTGCAGTCACAGTGGAGAGTTTGCAAACTCCTAATCAACAGATGTCCACAGCATCCATTGGGATGAGGTAAGTCTACAGAAGAGTAAAAGGCACCACAGGGCCTTAGTTCCCTGATGCCACCTCTGGTGCTTGGTCCCGAGTCTCCATCCTGACACTGAATGCCACAAAACCACAGCACTAGGAGATTCTGTAAGGAATAAGCTATTTCCCCTGCATGGGGTCTCCTTGCCTTCTATCCACTGGCCTCACAGTTCAAGTTCCAGATAAGTTATCACCTACTCCGGGTGCCTGTTTTCACAGCCGAATAAAAACAGTGGGCACTTCAAGGACCTCATTCCCAGAACTGCAGAAACTGCAAGGGATGCTGGGATGGAGATGCTTCCAACACCAGATGTTTGGAAAGGATGGGGCACAGGCTTGGATGGAGGGGATGGAGCAGGGAGTAAGCAGGGCTCAGACAAGTGGGCACACAGGGTATATGAGGCTGAAGCTTAGAAATGTCTCTGCCTCTTGCACAACCCCAGGGTTAATGAACACATAAATGTGCAGGGCTTGGATTTAGGGGTATGCTGACACTGTTTTTGTGTGGTATCACTATTTCTATTTCCTGCTGTGTCAGCACCTGCACGCTGAGTTCTCTCTCCTTTGCAGATGGCTTACAGGGGCCCTGCTCATGAGCCCTAATTGCAGGCCTAACTAGCCACAGGCCCTGGCTCACTTGGGTGGGTCCTGGATATCCATCCTCTCATAGAATGGAAGAAGGCTGCATGTTCTGCTCCCTCAGTGGGAGCACCTAAGAATGCTCAGGAGGTAGACATTTGGGGAACATGGTTGGATCACTAGGGTCTTAGTAGAGCAGGAGAAAGTGTATATGACACCCCTTCTGTGGTTGGGAGAGGGGTGTCTGGCTGGGAGAGGACTCTAGTCAAAGGGTTGTAAGACCCAGTCTTAATCTAACCCTAAGGCAGGACCCTAGTCCAAACCTGCAGTGGAGCCAAGGCCCTAAGGGGAACAACCAGGACTAGGGCCTTGGGTGTGGGGTGTAGGGCTGCCTTGGACTGAAAGCAGCTTCCCAGCACCCATTGGCTAGAGGAAGGACAATGTGCCAGGCTGCAGGCACAGGAAGCAGCTGCTGGAGTTGCTTCCTCAGCCACAACCAACATCAACTAGTTTGCACATTCCTCCTAAATATGCCTCTGTGAATAAGGAGAAAAAAATAAAACATGAAAGCATTGGGTCCCCTAAATGTCAAGATCAATACAATGAGAAAAAATAGGAATTTCACCCTATTAAAGTTGGGGAGAGAAAAGGCCTTTGGAAATACAGTCTGGGAGGCTGGGCATGGTGGGTGTTGGACCTTGAATCCAACCTCAAAAGGATAACTTCTCAACACACCAGATCCTTTGAGGACCTGGGGACAGCCTGCAGATCCAAGGCTTAGAAGACAATCTGAAGTATGCAGTCTGACAGGAAAAACTCAGTGTTTGAGGGCAAGCCCAGGGCACCTAAGCCATGGAAAATAAATGAGGGCCTAAGGTGGCTCTAAGATGGCCCAGAGCCACTTCCCCACCAAAGATACTTCCCAGGGATGGCTTTGGGATAACTCATTGAGCCTGATATCTGTTTATCCAGCCATATCTATCTATCATTATTAATAAACTGATGATTTATCTATTACCTATTATCCATCTATCAGTCCATCATCTATCATTCACATCTAATATGTTAATCAACTTTATGACACTGTAACAAAATACCCAAGACAATTGACTTAAAAAGAGAAAAGGTTTATTTTAGCTTTCAATGTTGGAGGTTCTAGTCCATGATTTATTGGTTCTGTTACTTTGGGCCTCTGGAAAGGCAGCACATCATAGAATGGGTGCTCATCTGAGGAGCCAGGGAACAAAAAGAGAGAACAAAGAATAGGTTGGGGTCCTATAATCCTCTTCAAAACTACACTCCTAATGACCTAAAAACTCTCCATAGGCTACACTTACAGGTTCTACCATGTCCCAATAGTGCCACCCTACGTATGAAGTCTTTAAGACATGGACTTTGGGAGGACACTTAACTATACCATGGCTCTCATGATCTATCACTCTTCTACCCACCCATTTAACCATCCACCAACCTGTCTATCTGTCCACATAATCAAATCCCTAGTACAGTAAAAAGGTAAGGAAAACAAACCTGTCTCACTCAGGCCTTCATGGCCACTCTTAGCCAGAACCATCCCCCCCCACCACAGCCTCCCCACCTCACTGACTACCAACATCAGGGCTCATGCCCAGGCTGACTCTCTGCCTAGAACATTCTTCCCCACCTACTATGTGGTGACTACCCCTCCTGTCTCTCTGGGGGCTCCCCTCACCTTAGCAGGCTCATCTTGCCTCAATCACCAGGCTTCAGGTTTGTTGACAGCCAGATGGGGCTCACTGAAGAGAGCACTTTGGTGCCCACTTCAGCCCAGCAGAATGAGTTCCTCCCTTGTTAAAGGAGGAACTAAGCCATAGGTTGGCCAACATCCGGCTGTTGACACACAGGTGGTCAATGGTCAGTCTAAACCAGGGACCCTGGTGGTAGGGTGGCCCTGAGCTAGGCCTGGGCACTGAGTGGTGCTGGCTCCTTCCACAGTGTGCAGCCAACTCTGCCTGTCTCTTTGGCCATTGAGCCACAGCTCTAATTCTGGCTTTTTAGTGGTTAATTGGAGAGAAGAGTCTCACACTTTCTTTCCCTGGGCTGGCTTCAAACCAGATCTCAGCCTTCTAAATAGTTAAATAGTTAGAATTACAGGTGTGAGCCACCTGTACCCACCTGGCCCAGATTTTGTGGGGGGGGGGGGGAGGGGAAGGTTGTTTTTTGTTTGTTTCTTTTCAGTTTGGCTTATCTTGGAACACACTGCACAGACTACTTTTCATGGCTCACTTCCTCCCAAAAGGAGGAACAGCAAGTGAGACCCTATTTTCTATGGTTATCAGCATCTCTTTTCACTTATTTCCTCACCCTTTGTTTTTCTTGAAGGTTTTGTTGTTTTCTGTTCTGAGAGTATTCTATGCTGTCCAGGCTGGCCTAGAACACTCACACTCAAGTAATCCTCTTGCTTTTTGGTAGAACAACAGGCATACAACACTATGTCCAGGTTTTCCCCTGGAACATCTTTAAAGCATTCAGTTTCACCCATAATAACATCTATTCATCCACCACTTTAGGAACCTGATAGGTCAGCCACATTTGTGACCATCTTTTTTTTTTTTTTTTTTTTTTTTGCCAGACATGGTGCTTGAACTCTGGGCCTGGGTGCTGCCCCTCAGCTCTTCAGCTCAAGACAAGTGCTCTACCTCTTGAGCCACAGTGCCACTTCCAGTTTTCTGGTGGTTACATGGAGATAAGAGTCTCATGGACTTTCCTGCTTGGGCTGGCTTTGAATTGTGATCCTCAGATCTCCCATGAATAACTAGGATTAAAGGTGTGAGCCACCGGTGCCCAGCATTTGTGACCATTTTAAGGCCTCAGGTTTTAAGAGTCACTCCAGGCTCACTGCTCAGATGGGTGAGGGAGAGATGGGCAGTAGTATCAAGGGAAGCCCTCATTTCTCATCCTATGGCTTGAGAAGGCTGCTTGAGGAGAGGGCAGAGACCGGTGGCAGATGTCCAGAAACCTCATTTGGAAGGAACTAGGTGTGGACACCACACAGCAGAATGCAGAAGATTGCCTCTGCAAGAGGGAACGTGTGGAGAGATTTGGCTAGAAGATGCTATTGGGAGACCAAGGTGGGCAGCAAGGTCTGGGATCCAGGGACAATGGTGGCCTGGAAGTTGATTTCTGCTGGGTGTAGGGCCCCTGAAGGTGGCTCTGTGTCTAAGACATGCTCCTGGGTTTCCTCCTACTCCCAAGAACGGAGCAGTGCTGAACACCAATGCAGGCCAAAGGATAGACTTGAAGCATAGAGGCTTCCAGGACCTAGAATAATGCAGACCCATGGGGAACAGTGAGTGCTAGAACTTGGCAAGGAGCAGACAGCAGGCCATTGCACATGTGACTGAGGACATGGGCGGCAACTAAGGTAAGGGCGCGTCTGTTCCCAGGCTCATGATGCATACTCCTCTTCTCCAGCTCCCTGGGGGGAGAACAGTCAGAGTCCAGCACCAGAATTCCAAAGGCACTAAAGTGACTTAACAAATGTTTTAGGTAGCTATCTGGTGCAAGCCACCCCTTCTCAAGTCTCTGAGATCCCAGCCTCTCTGCCTCCAATTCTCACCCTGAGAGATGCTGGAACATGTTCAGCTCAACAGTGCCAGGGAAGGCAGCCCTAGCTGGAACTACATGCTGATGGTCCTGCAGGGAGGGGACAGTGATGCAGGGAGGCATATGAGCTTTATTGTCATTCCTGATTAGAAAAGTAGAGGCCTGGACCCCTAGGATGGGGACTGGGGCTCTGCCTGATCACTGCTGGAGGAGGGTGTGGGTAGGGTCTGAGGCCCACACGAGCATGGCTGCTTCTTGGTGGCCACCAAGCCCAGGTACTGAAGAGGGAGCCAGAGGCTGATGGTCAATGCTGGCTGTCCAGTGTCCCTGGATTACAAAGTGGCAGAAGCAGTGCAGCAGTCACCAGGGTGGCCTGGGCAGGCCTCACAGGACATGGGGATGCTGGTGCTTTGGCAAAGGGAGGGCCAAGTTCTAGTCTTTCTGGAATATCCTGAGACAGAGGCCAAAGCAGACCCCTTATCTGGCCCATGCAGATCAGACGTGTGTCCTTTGGTGGAATGTGACCTTTTCTGGGTACTAGTCTCTGGGTCTGTCCAGTTCTGACCTTCTGGGCTCACATTCAGCCACACACACACAGGGTAGGGCCTTCCATGGTCAGTCACAATCAGCGTGTCTCAGGACATGGCCCAGCAAAGGCCAGCTTGGGCTTTGGCCCAATGGGAGTACTACACATGGAGTTGGAGTAACTTCAGGACTCGCAGTTTCTGGGGGCTGGGCTGCGGGACAGATGGCATTCAAGGTTCTGGAAAGAAGAGAGAAGAGGTGTGAGGGCTGGCTGGCCCAGCCAACAATGTCCCAAGCTGGTGGAGGCCCTGAGTCCATCCAGGTGACCAGCCACTCAGATACTTGGACCCTAAGACTGAGAAGTACAAAAGACCTGTCTGACCTGAATGAGTCTGCAAGGCCCTTAGCTCATTCTCTGAAATACACCATCCCTGCATCTCTGTCAAGATTTAAAGGCATGGCCCAGTATGGACACCAGGGCCAGGCAGCAGTGACCTCTATTCTGGTAGCTTCAAGTAGCAGTATATACAGTGACTCTGGACTTGGGGTCTCTGGGGACAGCCCTGAGGGCACCAATAGAGGAAAAAGGCCAGTAGGATAATGTCTGTGAGCCAGTAGGCCCCAGCAGAAAAGTTGGGGTCTGGCTAGCACAGGACCAATGCTTAAGGAAGAGCCAAGAATTGTGTCAGGCCACACATTAGGTAGCCTCACCCTGACAGGCATGAGACACAGGCTGACATCCAGAGACTCTGTGGGAGGATAGCTGACTACAAACCTGAGTACTGGCTGAGCTGGGAATCAGACACCATGTGAGCCATCCAGATCCTTGGCTAGCAGGAGAGCCTCAGGCTCTGGACCAGAGCACTGGGGTAGTGTGTCAGGGCAGCCCCAGCCTCACTTACATGGATTACAGCATGCATGGCCCCAGACCACAGCCACATGGCCTGTAGTATGGGTGGCCTTAGCCTGAGTCACCCAGACCTCTCTATTCAGCCTGTTCCCAGGCTGAGCATCTTCAAGTGAGCAATCACTCTGAGCAGGAACAGTGGGTAGGGCTGAGCATGTTTATGGGGCTCCTCAAGGAGAAGCAGGAGTGATATAGACCCTTGGGGCAAAGGATGAACAGATGGAGTATTAGACGTCAAATTCTATCCTTTTCAGAGTGGTGGAGACCACTTGCTCAGGTGAGAGGTCATATAAAACAAGCAGAGCCTCTGTCTCTGTTCTCAAGAGATATCAGAAATTCATGGTGGGCTGGCTGGCTGGGTGGCTGGCTGGGTGGCTGGCTGCCTTCCTTCCTTCTTTCCTTCCTTCCTTTCTTCCTTCCTTCTCCTCCCTTCTTCTTCTTCCCTCCTCCCTCTTTTCTTTCATTCCTTTCCTTCTCACCCTTCCTTCCTCCTGCTTTCCTTTTGGCCTTCCCTTCCTTCCTTTGAGATAGCATCTTATTATATCCCAAGCTGGCCTAGAACTTTCTATGCAGCCTAGGGTGACCTCTCACTTAGAATCCTTTTACCTAAACTTCCTGCATGGTGAAACTATAGGTGTGTACCACCACCTCTAATTAAGAAATTTCATTTTCAAGAAATGTGGAAGAAGCAGCTATATTGTCAAAGCTCATAGAAGTCACAAACTTTAGAGACCATGATAATGACAATTTGCCCTATGAAGGTTAGAATGTGTTTGTGGCTTTAATTAAGTATCACTATCTCACAATACTATGAAATCTGTGAAATTTATGTAATCACTTAATCACAATAAAAAAATTAAAAAAAAGAAATTTCATTTTCTTTTCTTTTCTTTTTTTTTTTGGGTCCAGTTGTGGGGCCTGAACTCTGGGCCTGGGCGCTGTCCCTCAGCTCTTCAGCTCAAGGCTAGTGCTCTACCACTTGAGCCACAGCGCCACTTCCAGCTTTTTTCTTTGCTTATGTGGTGCTGAGGAATCAAACTCAGGGCCTTAGGCATGCAAGGCAAGCGCTCTACCACTCAGCCATCTTCCCAGCTCAGAAATTTCATTCTCATACAAGCTTTCCAGATGTTTAAATGGAGATTCCAGAGCTGAGGGTATAGCTTAGTAATATACCATTTGCCTAGCATGTGGGAGGCCCTGGATTCCCTCAACACCATTAAAAAAATAAATAAATAAAAAGCATGCGTTTCCTCAACATCCCACTGAACCCCGGGCAATCCATGTGGAGAGCCTGGCAGTGCCAAGCAGGGATCATGTGGATATGAACAAGGGTGCTCTGTCCCAAGAAGGGGCTCAGGAAGAGCTAGCTGGAGGCTTAAACACCCTAGAAGCCTCCCAGGTGGTGGCAAATAGTGGGTCCCATATTCCCTTCCCAGCTTACCTGGATTCTCTATTGCTGGGGTGCCATATCTATCATGGGCTTTTGGACCCCAAAGGCTGTGATGAAGATGTTGACCACCACAATGATGAATACCAGGCCCGTGGCTAGGTTGTTCAGGAAGTCCAGCTTGGCATGCTTGTCTGGGTTGTTAAGATCATACTTGACTGTGGGAGAGAGAAAGGGGATAGTGCTCAGGGCTGCTTAGACTGGGGACTGTGTTGAGTGGACATTATGGACCCCAGCCAGATTTAGGGTAAGAGAATTTTTCCCCAGAGAACATTCACTTGTTGCCAAAACCCTAACTTGGGTGTTCTTACCTTCTATAGCAACCCTTTCCCCCACCCTCCATGAAGAACTGAAGCCTAGGTGATGAGCCTAAGTCATGTTGCTCAAGGATATCAAGTCAGATGAGAGCACTTAATCCTCTCTCCCCAACGTGCAACCATTATCCTCATTGCACAGATTGAGAAACTGAGGTCCCAAAAGGGCCACTCACTTTCCCCAGCACACACAACCAAGAAGCAAAGCAACAGGGATGTGGCATCCTGCTGCTTTGTTGAGGATGTCCCCCCTGGACAGAGGTCAAGGATACCATGGACATCCTCATCTCCTGGCCTA